AAATGTTCTTATCTTATTGTTTAATTTTCATATAGGATTGGGATAGACCTGTTTTTAAACCACAGGTGTAAATTATCAAATATTTTAATTTATAACTGGCCCTAAAATAATAACACATATGGTGTTTGAGATTAAAACAGAAGTATTTTTCAGTATGTTATACAAGCTATTTCCAGAGAGGTCTGTTAACCTTGGCATAAAAGAGAATTCCAGACAAAGAAAGCACTATGAGAAACATCCAATCGAGGCCAGGGGGAAAGAGAAAACCAGGAAAGACTAAAGACTCTGGCTCAGCTTTATATAAAAATAAGATTAACATGGGGGGTCACAAGAAAAGAAGAAGGGAAGGGTTTAATTCACCATGGAAACATAACCTGGGTTCTTATATGGCCTGAAAGTAGTATTTAAGGGAAGATTTCATACAGGTAGAATAAAGAGACTTATAAAAGACAAAGCTTGACAGTAAAATTCCCAAATCCAGTGTACCAAACAAATATGTGTTATACAGACAAATTAAAAAATAGATGTTTCTAGAACAGTCCATTGTCAGGTCCATTTCAAAATGGCTCCATTGACCCAGAGCCCCAATAGGCCCAAGGTAAGAGTCCACTGCTCAAGGCAACAGACAGTAGCAGCAATGGTTGTCTGACTCAAGGTTGCAGAAAAGGGCTGGCAGTAAGTGATCAGCTCAGGGTGGAAAAAGAAGAAGATCTGCTTTGATGCAACACGCTTAAAATAACAAGTTTGTTGCCTAGTAACCAAAAGAAGCTAACCGTAAATAATTACATTTTGGTGAGCATTCCATAGTTGATAAGTTTCCAGTGAGAACATTATGAAAATAATATACTGTAGGCAGTGTTTTGATGACACATAGAAAGAATAAATGAATCATACAAATTAATTTCTAGTCTTGAGTAGCTTCTTTACCGAATGGTTAACAAGTATCTCAATGTTTAAACGTTTTCTGCAAATACTGATCTGATATTGGTCTTAATGATTCTGAGATCAAATAACATTCAGAGTAAATCATCTCATGATAGTTTGGTGTTTGTAGTGTATCTTTGCTATGTTTATGCTTGGTCTGACATCAAGTCACAATTGGTTTCATGGTCGTTAGTTTACTTCTTATCTTTATTTTCTTTCAGTTATATAGGTTTTGTTGGAAAACATTCAGATACTTTCTCTAATGATAACAAACTAAGCATCTTTCATAAAAATAATCTCGTATCACTGCATAAAAAGAATTCAGGAGAAAAAATAATGTCAAAACAATTGAATCAGACCAAACCTATCAATAAACAATAGAAAATATCCATCATAAAACACCATAGGAATGCCAGTTTAAGTAAGATTTAAGGTATGAATTGAAAGCAGACAGAGACTGTGAATTTGTGATCTCATAGAGAAGAGTATTATATAGATCAGGTGCATAGTAAAAGAAGCTGTTCATAGTATTATTGAGAAAAGAAGGAAGAGACCCTAGGCTATAGCATGGGCTGTAATTTATCAGGAGATCAGAAATATAAGTATATTCCCCCCTTGTGGCCTTAAAGGTCAACTGTAATATCTCCAAGTCCATGTGAAATTTGAGTTTCATAACACTACTGCAGGGATTTCAAAACAGGGCTTATAGGTTGACCAGTATGTGATCTAGTCATAACTCACACTGCTGAGTTTTGAAAGTATTGAAGTTTCTGTAAGTTGTTCCTTGAGCATTTGCTGTAGTCAAGTCTGAAGGAAATAACAAAACCATTGTTCTAAGAGGGAGAATAAGAATAAACTAATATTCTAAGCACCTGTACATCCACTATTGAGAAAAATGTCTGTCCTCCTGCATAAACAAAACAATAAATATGCATAAGCATTTCTCTGATGGTTTCAAGAAAAATACAGAACACCTTATATACAGTATACTGATGGAAAAAAGAAACGCACCACCTCCTACTCCACACTCTCTCCCTCCTGTCTGCGTGGAACAGGCTGAAGAGTGACTCATCCGTGAAGAGGACCTGATGCCACTGCTGAGGAGTCCATCGCAGCCTCTGTCTGGCCCAAGCCAGTCAGGTGTGACATCCAGGAGGTGTGAGCAAAGGGCCTCTGACAGGTCACCTTGCTCTTAGGCCAGCAGCATCGAGCCTCACTTGTCCTGTCACTGATGCGAGCATTGTGTCTGCTGGCAGTTTAAGCAGCAGTACGGGTGGCAGATCTGAAACGATCTCTCAGATGGACCAGTCTGATGTGTCTGTTCTGCTCTGTGTGGTGACTCAAAGGTCATCTGTCCTGCCGGTCTGCTGAAACCTTCTCTGCAGTCGGGACACAGTGGAATGGCTTACTCCATAGTGTCTGGCAACGCTGGCACATGACATGCATGCCTGCAGCATGCCAATAGCCCTCTCCCTTGCTTCTGGTGACATTCAAGGCATTATGGAATGCACAGAAAACTGACTAAGTGTGGCTTTTTTCCTGCAGTGACCTGAGCTTTGAATTAAGGCCTTTTTAAAGGGCCCTGATCAGGCATCGTTCCACCTGGACCTGGTTGGGTAAAAGTGCACCTAACGAGCTTTCATGTGATTGGCAAGTTGCAATGTCTCACTAAACAAGCTGTATTGCTGGTCAGAGGGCTTAAAACAAATTGACAACTATTTGTGAAAGTACATAAGCTATAACTATAGTATTCTCATTCCAGAAAATGCTGCTTTTCTTTTTTCCATCAGTATATTGTTTTTTTTAAAACTGCATTGTCAAGGTAAAGTATAAAGACATCACTGTCATATATTCTAAATTAGATGTTTTATGAATATTATGTTATAATATCATGTTACAAATTGTCATTACATTTTTGGAAATGTAAATCATCTTGACTTTGTGAATAAAGTAAAGAAATTTAATAATTGATAATGCCTGACCTACTGTACATGGTGTGTTTTTTTATCAAAGGCCTTCAAATGGCTTCATGTACAGTAGGAGGGGACCCACTTCATCCACCACTGTAATGCAGTTCCCACCTGCGTGAGGAGTGGAAGAGAGAAACTGAACAACTCTAAACTCAAAGTGGAGTTTAGCCGGGAAATTATATCACAATTCTTTTCAAATATGGATTTTTATTATCCAAAAGTGTCTTGTTTTGGTTTAACATCCAGTGCAAAGGATGACACCGCCTAAAGTACCGTATCCACAGTCACAATCCATTCTGGGACATTTTCTTCAGAAATTGTGGTCTAGAGTTAAGAGTGCCACCTACTGGACCCCTAGGACCACTTGTGACAGCAAGCTGCTTTTTCTTGGTATGTTTCCATTCTGGAACTGACCAGGCCAGGCGTTGTTTAATTTGTAACATATATAACATAAGGCACACTGGAAAAAAAACAGAAATCATGTTTTGTGATGGTGGTTTTCAAAGTAATCTCTGAATTAGCACTCACACTCAATGGTTCCCTTAGCAATACACAACCAGGGTCATGAGGCTGGAGGGTATGAGCATCTCTGCCTACAATTCTGGCAAATTCCTCTATAAAACCACTAAGCCTTACAGAGAGAAAAGACTGGTAAAAGGACAAAGGGGATTTTAAAGCCGTATGTTAAAAATACACAATTATTTTCCATTAAATTAAATTTGTAAATGCCTTCAAATTAATAAAATAAGACATCCATGGTCACAACAAATCAAACAAGTAATTTATTTATTTGAAAATATGAAACCCTAGCAGCACAAGGGCCCTGGATTCAATTCCTGGGCTGCTATCTGCGTGGAGATTTGAATGTTCTCCCTATGTTCATGTGGGTTTCCTTCAAGTGCTCAGGTTTCCTCCCACACTCCAAAGACAGATGAAGATGAATTGGCTTCTGGGAAACCTGGTGTGGGGGTGTGTGTGTCTGTTTCTGCATGTGCCCCATAATGGTCTGTCATTCCATCCAGAGTTTATCCTGCCATGCACCCACTGTCTGCCAGGATAGCCTCTGGCTCCCTCACAGCCCTGTATTGGATAAACCACTGCTTCAAACATGGATGGATGGATAAATATAACTAATGGAGATTTTGTTTTACATTGACCCTTGTCACAGGCATTAAACCTGCCTATGGTATATTAAAATAAAATATAAAACAATATACAACAGTGCATATTGTATTAGATTTTTGTATTGTTATAATCGTCTTAGATCTGTTAAACTTTAGTTAAGCTTAGTTAGGTTTCAATCAAACGTGGCCTATGGTCTTTGTAATTAATGGACAATCTGTAGAGAGAGTGGACACCTTTAAATTTCTTGGCACGACCATCTGCCACTCACTGAAGTGGGCAGATAACACCAGCCTCATCATGAAGAAAGCCGCCATCAGAGGCTATACTCCCTATGACCTTCTTGATAACAGTGTGGTACAGCAAAATGGCTGCCAAGAAAGAAACATCTGGAAAAAGTCTTACACCCTGCATCCAAGATCATTAGATGTGATCTTCACTTCATTGCCCCTGTTTACGACAGCTGCATCAAACAGAAAGCTAAGAAGGTGTCCACAGGCCCCTTCCATCCCACCAGCTCCTTTTTGAAATTTCTCCCTTCGGGGAGGAGGTTTCAAAGTATCAGATGCACTGACTATCTGCTCGGGTACGAAATAGAACATACTGTATCTAGAGGCCATTGAACACCACAATATGTAGATCTTGAATTCTGCAAGTATTACTGTATGTGGGACAGAATATAAATATAACTGGATCAGACCTTTTGATTAATTGAGTAATATGTACTGTGTATGTGTAATATGTGCTTTGTTGTTTTTTAGTATTGAATTGAATATGCCATAATTTTGTATGGATGACAAAAAAATAAATATGGCACTATATAACACACAAGACAAAGTATACCACACAACTGAAGACAAAGTGGTCTATTTGGAAAAACAATAGATAACACAGGCTTGTATTTGTGAAGCTAAGCCTACTACAAACTAGCTCTGCTCTCCTTCATCAGTTAGGCAGGTGGTACCTCATGACTGGAAGTCCAATGTATTTAGGAGAAGTGGCAGCATCCCAAATAAGCAGGTATTCTTCAATATTCCTGGACCATGCCTGGATTGCAAAGAGAGACAGAATAGTATTCTGAAAGTACTGCACGCACAACACATTGTGGTGAAAATCTTAAACAATCACCTTCGTGAAATGTTTTTTTTTTTAATATATACTGTATATGAATGAACGAATTATTAATGTTGATATAAATGAAAAAAGGAAAATTAAGCAATAAGGGTTTCACAGTCATATAGTTCCTTCAAAACGCCAGTCACTCAGCATTTTGAGATATAAAACGAAAGTTTTAGGTTGGACACTAAGAGGGCGCATGATCGGCATTTCACTATAGTACCGCTGCAAATGCTGCTAATTACTGTAACAATGTTAAAAGGGAATTATTTTTACGTTACCTTGATAATATTATTATGAATAAGAAAATACTTTTTCTGGTGGTACTAGAATCCTTAATCCTTTTTTTTTCGGTTGACCAACAGATAATGTGGAGCGTTTTTCGTCTAAAAATTCAAATTGAAATTGCGGGTGATTGTGCTTCACCAGACTCGCAGAAGGCTTGCACACCTTTTTCAAATAATCACGTAAATTAGGTTCGAGTCGCGATCGTGTCAGCCACAAACAAGCAGAGAATAATTCCACCCTTGAAAATAAAACTTACTTTTTACCAGAAGAATATTTCACAGCCAAAACGTTGTTTTTCTTCTTTCTTTCTACTTTTCGTCTCGGAATTGTCTTCTAATTTTTTCTCTTGAATTACTTTGGATATATATATATACATTATATGTGATAATTTAACAAATAAAAAGTTAATGCAGTACAGTATATCCAATAATAGTGTACTTGGAAATCACATGGCACTTACTGTAAATTGAATCACGGGCAAGGGAAAACCTTTAAGAACAGGTGTTGCTGTTTATGTGCTTTATATATGGAACACAATTTTATATTGAGTAGCACATTCATAGGCAGGATTCAGCAGGGGGGGAAGCCCTGCACATAACTGTTTACTATCAGAATGTAAGAGGACTTACAAGCATAAAGAGGCCATTCAGTCCATTGTGCTTTTGTCTAGTTGTTAGAAGCTTAATATTCCAAGAACCCCATCAAGTCAAAGGATCCCATGTGAGTTGGTTCCAGACACCAACAGTCCGCTGTGTAAAATGCTTGTCTTGAAATTTCCCACACTTAATTTTCATTAAACCCTTGTATTGTTCCTGATCTTAAAGAAATCTCCTGGGATCACTGGGTCAGTGCCTTTCAACATTTGGCATCCTTGAGTTCTCTCTCCCTAAATCTTCTAAGTGATCATCAATCACAATTTCAGGCTAAAAAGATCCAGTTCCTTTAATCTATCTGCATTTGGAATGGTAATCTTTTTGCAAAGCTCAGAAACATGAAGAGGTTTAAGGTGTTTTTAACTACTGGATCTCAGGTCAGATAAAGCTGAAAATGCAGATTTTTTCAAGGCAAGTCTCTAATTTTGAACACACTGCAGAACCTATTTCCAGGAGATAGGAGGCTGATGTCTTCAGCCTGCAGTGCTCAGAATATGTCAGAGTCTCTTCTTATCCTGGGTGGGGAGCATATTGAACAGTTTATTATTGTAGTATTACAAGATGAAAAATGTCTTTCCAATGTGATTCCCCTGCTTATGATCTCCTACTGTATATACACCCCATGACATCCAAGTAAATTAAATGAAGAGTTCTTCTCAAACGTGATCGCACAACCCTACAGCCACCCTGCACAATTCTGGACAATTGGTACAATTGAACTCCCCTGATCTGTACATAAATCTGTGTGAACTTCCAGTTCAGGACAGTACATTACACTTTTTTTTGCAAAGCCTATTTGTACATCACCCCACTGAATTTGTTGTGGGAAACACTCTTGTGAAAAAGGCACACATCATTTCTGAACTGAAACTGTCTACTCAGTTTAGAAATCGTGGGTGATTGTTCTTCACAAGCCTCGCAGTATTTTAATATGTTGATGATCAAAGGGTTAGTGCAAAAAGTAACATAAGCACTCCACTTGAAGAGATACTGTAACTGTATAATTTTTAAGTAACAATAGTGATAGAAAAAAAGTTGTGTCTTAAATACTGGACGTCCTATATAGTATGTGAAAAGGGAATAAGAAAGAGATACAGGTGTTCTAGAAGTAAATAAACTATTATATTTGCATGAACTATACCCATACAAAAAATCTGTTCCTGTATACTGCTCATGAAAAACTGAGCTTGCATTTTGAGGTGAAAAAGCTTTAGTTTGCCATGTCTTGATATATGTCGTAATATACTTGTCAGCGTAAGACACTAAATAAAGTTAATTTTACTCTCACTTAAAGAAAATGTTTAATACAATTGGATTATGTGTGAAAGTGAAGCCGTGAATGTGAATCATTTGTTGACAGCTTCACAATTCACACTCCTGTGTGGCATGCTATACTCTTCTCTAAGAACGCACATTACAGAGCAGGATGTTTTTGCTTAACAAAGGCGTCAAATTGTATGAATTTCAAAACGGAATGACTGCAGAATATTGTTCTTAACTGTATTCATCCCTCAAAGTCATTATCAAAAGATATATTCTTTAATTGTGAACTGGCAAAGGTTATGGCAATCCAGTGTCAGTCTCTGAAGCATCAGATACATCACCTACTGTACAAGGCAGGACAACTAGGATGCTAGTCCATCACCAGGCACACACCCATGTAAGGGCACAGGGAATGCCTTTGGGAGCTGAGGGAATACTGGAACAACTGGTGAAAACCCACAATGGCACGGGGGGAGCATGCAAATCCCTCACGTAAGACACTGCTGTTCAGGACCAAAGAGCTGTACAAAGCCAACAGCCTTGTCAATTGGTCTGAGCAGTTTCAAAAAGTCAATTAATCAATCAATCAAAGTTTATTTATCAAATGCACAACGATACAGCATGCAGCAGTCGTTGCTGGCAATGAAATGTCTTCTCTACGAGCTCACTGGGTGTGGGGGGTTGGGTAAAAATCACAAAATTGCAGTTACAAAATAAGGTTACATAATAATAGATAATAATGCAATAAAAATTTAATACAATAAACTCAGACTAAACTCAATATAAATAGAACTGCTATGTGTCCAGGGTGTATGCAATATATTATGTCCAAGTAGTGCAGTATGATGAATACAATGAAAACTGTATGTCCATGTAGTCATTATGGGTGATTTGCAGAAGGAGCTGCAGGTCTTATTGCCTGGGAGGAAATGACATCAGGAGTGATAGCTAATTACTGACAGCAGAGTCTGATTGAACTTGGCCATTGTCATGCCACCTGAACTTCATTACAAACTCTATTAATAATCGTAATAAAGTATGGACAAGTGTGTGCAATGAACAATTGTATAAGTGAACAGGGTCTTCTCCCATGGAGAACATAATAACCAGGAATGTCATAAGTCTCTGTAATATATAAGGTGTTTTTATAATGCATACTGTACAAAAGTACTCACTGATAAAAAAAAGATATGTTTGCAAATATGCTTCCAGTGGTACAAAGCAGAATGTGATGCATTTATATTCTGCATAAAATACACCACATTACCAAACCAAAATTGCGCCCAATGTTACCAACGCCTAAAAACCTCAAGTCAAGCCCAAATGTCTGAGATGTGATGATGGTAATGTTGTTGGACAAGAAGGATCTACTTGTCAGACATTTTAAAGTGAACTGTAACATGCTATTGACTAAACATTATCCATATTTATTACATCAGCATTCATGTTCTTGTGAGGTGGAAGTAGACATTTGTGTGCAAAGGTCCTACCTGTAAATTATTTTTGTTGGATAATTCACTTACATTTTTTATCCTCTGTTACTACCTGTCAGTTACTATTTGAGAAAGTTAATGATTTAAATGAAAATGTCACCTAGTTTGCTTGACAATAATAATCAGTGAAATCTACCTACAACTTGTTCTTTTACAGAACTGCTGCTTGCATGGTTTATTTTGATTTCTCTAGTTTTCAGACCTAAAAACACAACCTACTGATATTCTGTTGCCTTGAAATAGTTAATGTCACCGTGGAATAAAACTCTTGACTGATAGACTTAATTGTAATTCACAGACTAACTCAATGATTATTAATAGAGTTTGTAATGAAAGTTCAAGAGCGATGACAACAGTCAAGTTCAATCAGACTCTGCTGTCAGTAATTAGCAATCACTCCTGATGGAGATTTCCTCTCCTGAAACACTATAAATACTGTACGTGATCCCATTCTCTTCCTTGCCTACATCTTCTTCATCCCACCTCCACCTCTGCAGCTGCCCCTTGGTCACTCTTCACTCTGCATGGAGGTCCAAGCCTCCTCATCCTATGGGCAGGCATAACCAAGCAGGTTAAGCCAAATTTTGACTAAACACTCCATAATCCTTTCAGAACTCTTTATTCTTGGGTGTTGTTATTCCAAGTGAAAGGGTATTTATTAGGGAAACACATTTTGTGTTACCTAGTGTTATTGTCTTACTTTACAGTACGTACAATAAACATCTGGCAAATGAAACTGTACTTTGTTTTATTTTAAGTATTTGTATTTAGGGTAATTTAGGAGCAGCTTAATTAGTAGAAACTGGTTTTCTTCAGCCGTGGATCTTAATTTGCTTGAATTTGATGTTTGTTTTGATGCAAACTCTGTGTCTGAGAGTATTTGTTTCAGGAGTGGACTGGCCTCTTATTTTTAATTTGAAACTAATATCTCTCCCTGCTTGAGAAGCTGATATTTGGTCTAATGAACTTTCACTTCCCCTTTTTACTATCAGAGGCACAGCTACAGTACACACAGAATGGGGAACAATTTTCAAGAGTTTACTGTTTAAGGTCCATTACTTTTTCCTTTCAATGTCTTTTCTGATTTAAATTGCTTATGGTGCTGCTAATTTATTGTATACCTTATATTGTTCTTTTTTAAAATGTTTTCTTAAATTTTGTACAGTAAATAGAGAAGGGCTTGACATTTGTGAAAACAGAAACTGTAAAATAAAAAATTCCCCGACAGTTTCAC